AGCGGCAAATACCGATGGGTTTCAAGAAGGGCAACTGGTACTATTGTTCAACCCACAACGAAAGAAAGGACTATGCCCCAAATTGCAAACGCACTGGGAAGGACCCTACAAGATTGTCACGAAAATAAATGACGTCGTTTATCGCATCCAGAGGAGCGACAGTCCCAGGTCGAAGATGAAAGTTGTACATTTGGAGCGGCTGACCCCCTACGGAACGGGAACTGTGCCTATTCGGGACGAACAGGCTTAAGCGGGGGGCAATGTTACGAATATAACTTTAGATTTAAGTTAATTTAGACGAATTCCGTTAATTTAAGAATTTGAATTGTAACGTAAATTTCTACTACGCAGTTTATTTGAATAACTTCACAACAACAACCACTGTATAGATTTTTCTACATCCTTCCATTTCCTCTTTCATTTTCTATTTTGTTATTGTCGTACAATTCTTGTTAAACGTCATTCCTCTTTCTTTGTTATTCCCTCGCCTGTATATGTGTTGTTGTTATTCCTCTTTCTTTGTTATTCCCTCGCCTGTATATGTGTTGTTGTTATTGTAAGTTTGTTTACTCAAGTTTGTTGTTGTTATTGTTCACTCAGTAAGTTTGTTGTTGTTATTGTTACTCAATGTGTTTGTTGCATTGGTAGATTGTTCGTGATCTAGGTGTTACCAGATCGTCTAGAAACTTCTGTAGCGACAGGCAGGGCTCATATAAATAGAGGGAATGGAAAGGCAGTGAGTCAGTTGTGAATCAGATCGCGAATTGAAACCGTCGTGTAAAGTAAAGTGCAAAGTAAAGTTGTGTGAATAAAATCATTGTAATAATCGTAATCAGAAAGAACCCGCGTTTTATTTGGTACGAATTGTATCGGGAAATAAAACAACGTCTACACGGGATTTAGTAAAATCCAAGAACGTAACAATATATTCACCTCAATTACGGTTGGCGCAGTTGTGTTGAAAATTTGGCACTGTCGTATTTATACGAGAAATCGGTATTATGAATGTCGTTATAATACGCCAAATTTGTCGTGAAAGATTCTGTTGACGACAGTATAAAAATAACTAGGGAAATATTTGTTATATTTATATTTATTTATAAATCTGGGGGCAACATATGACGGTCGATATTGAGTAAGTTTTTATTCGACATTTCGATAATATCATAACTACTGCCATCCGATCGGAATTGGCGGTCGATATTGAGTAAGTTTTTATTCGACATTTCGATAATATCATACCTACTGCCATCACCAAAATGATGTCACCGACATTACCGCGAAGAGCCGTAAAAATGTTCTTTTTTAAATCTGGAGCAACATATGAAGGTCGATATTGAGTAAGTTTTTGTCCGACATTTCGATAATATCATAACTACTGCTATCACCATCATGATGCCTTTATATCATGATGTCACCGACATTACCGCGAAGAGCAGTAAAAATGTTCTTTTATAAATCTGGGGGCAACATATTACGGTCGATATTGAGTAAATTTTTATTCGATATTTCAATAATATCATAACTACTGACATCACCATCCGATCGGAATTGTTCAATGAAAATTATAGATTAACTTGTAATCGACCTGTCAAAAACATATTTTCTCTGTTAAGTTCTTTAAAAACTATTTTCTTTAAAATGTCCTTTATTCGATGAGATTCGCTAGGAGTCATTCAAAAAAAAATTACTTATTTGTTATTTGTAACTGGGAGACTCTTCACTAATATTTTTAAGATTTTAGACGCATTTACAACCCGAATAGGCTGTAATTTGGCATTCCCGGTTTTTGTGAAGCAAATACTTTTCCCTAGAGAATGTTCAATATTGGTCAGTGGTTGTAAATATATTAATACAGAGGTATTTACTTACCTTAGTTATTTGTAACTGGGAGACTCTTCACTAATATTTGGTCTGTTTGCGTACTGCAACAATCTACTCATTTTTACCATTTCTTCGATATCATAAAGGTAAACTTCTAATCGTATTAAAAAATTGTGAATTCTCTAACGTTCTGGAACAGACCAATTATATTTATTATTTTATAGCAATGAATCTTGACGCAACTCTCTTTTGACCCAATGTGCAGAAATTGTTAGTTGGTTAATTTGTCCAAACATATTATATATTATGCGACATAACCTTTTTCAATACACCCCAAGTGGTTTATTGTGTTATATATTCAGCCCATTCCTGCTGCGAACGTCTCCTTCTATTGGGATTTATTCTATTCTTGATGGGATTTTTTCTGGTTTCGGCACCTATTCTAGGTACTTGCAAACCCTCGATAGTTCTTATCAGACGTTTCGACTATAATTATAGGACTATGCTTTGGTATGGCTCTCATTTATCGGTACCGCCCAATTTTCAGTATTTTTAAGATTTTAGACGCATTTACAACCCGAATAGGCTGTAATTTGGCATTCCCGGTTTTTGTGAAGCAAATACTTTTCCCTAGAGAATGTTCAATATCGGTCAATGGTTGTAAATATATAAATACAGAGGTCTTTACTTACCTTAGTGGCTCTAAATTCTGTTATTAAATTTTCAATGTTTACATGGTGGAGAGTATAATACAATGACCGGTGGGACTGAACTTAACAACGTCGTTACATATTTGTTTTTCCCTACCTGTGGTTGTGCATACATCATTTCTTTCACGTTAAGGAACAATGTCTGCACCAAAACATTCATTTTTTAGCGACAATAGCAAATTTCAATAATACTTATAGGGAACATGAAAAGAAACAAATTAAGCGAGTTTGCTGTAAAATATGGAATTATTTCAATTGCACTTTATTTTATACTTATTGTTGTATATATATCTTTAGGCGTTCTTCATTTATATGATTTCTATTTATTTATTATGTATGCTCTTCGCAGATCAAAAATCCATTATATTTACTATACATTTTTTTGTAAATATATTTAAAAAAAATTTATTATTATCGTATATATGTAACATGGTGATCATAGATAAAAATAAATATACGTGTTTGTGTACATACATAAATATACGCATGCCTTTCTACATTAAAATAATATTAAAAATTTTTATAAAAAATATTGCGCCTCGTTTTGTAAAAAACAAGAAAAATACGTGTAGTTGCAAACGTTGTTGCTGATTTTTGAATAGGTATATAGATCAAGATAAATTTCATCTAAAATTGCACGTAGGGTTTTATAAACACACAAATAATTTAAGTGGAAAAACAAATATCAAACGTATTTTCTAACTAAAATATTAGTATTACTAATTTATTTAGGATGTGGTCTGACCATATTACACAAATAAGACGGAAGAGTGAGAGGGTTGGTCGGCCCAGTGATTATGCACAATGACTGGACCTAACTAATTAAATTTGCTAAAGCAGTACAAACATTAAAAATTTAATATAAATTCTTCTAAATTCAAAAACAAAACATGACTTAAAACAATGACTTCGGCTAAGCTGAAACTAAAAACAAATGCACATTGCCGGCATACAACCATTGGACACCAATGAAAGTGTCCACCGATAAAGGGAACAGCGATTGGCTCACACACCCTACACTACCAATGCTAAACGGAACAATACAATATCATCGTTGCCGATTAAAAAAAGCAACTATAATTTGACTAAAACATTTTTTCGATTCTTTGCAATTAAATGTAATAAATTCTTAGGTTATCTAAATCAACATGTCACGACTTATAGGTAGTATTTAAATGTACGCTTAAATAGTAAAGACGAAAATAAATCATTTATAAATATCTGGTATAAAACGTAAAAGACAACATTCATTAGGATAGCATAGTTCACTTAAAGCTAATGTGTGTGTGTGGGGCTGGGCGATCGTTTGAGACATAAAAACAACTGCAAAGACGCCAAAGCAGACACAAACAAAAACATCCCAATATTTATATTACAATTTCCTATCAACAAAAAATAATAAAGCTTTTAAGCCTCATAGGCATGTTAACTCTTCGAGTCATATCTCTAGAAACTCCAACTCGCCCAATCAAAAAGTATTGCGATCTTGTAAGATGGCGAGGCGCATTGGCCAAGGCTTTACAATTTGTAAACAGACTCAAGTCGAATTCATAGCAATATATATGAACTGTTCTGCACTAAGAAAATAACATTATTAAGTAAAAGGCTTCAGAGTTATGTACAAAATAAAATTATATTGGCTCGGACAAGACTTCTTGTTTCACTATGATAATTTGCATAAATAGATTTGCAGGGGGAATGTAAATAGGAAGGGAATTATAAGTTCACCGAATAATAAAAAGTATGTCTTGCACAAATAAATTGCATGAGTAAGTCTTTTTTATTTTTAAACCAATGGAATGGAATTTTAAACAAATGCAGTGTTGTTCACAACAAAATTGAGAAAAAGTGTGTGCGAGCGCAACTGAGATTTCATCATTAAAAACGACGGACGAAAAGAGAAAAAATAATGCGTTCTTAACCATCGACGCTCAGTTGCGATAGCGTATATGGGTGAGCGTGGCTGTTTTAATGACATACTCTTTTTGTTTTCATTAATTTCCCATGACATTTCTCTGACAATAACGCAACTGAAATTATTCATTCCCTTCCCATGTAAATACAAAATTAAACTAAGAAGAACATTATTAAAACATAACGTCAATTCTCTTTCAAGACTTCACAAAGTTAAACCCATCGTCGTCTTCCTGGGTGCACGACATGTTATCTGGACTTATTTTCTAGACATGGTAATTGGCATATAGCGAGGCAGTTAAACTAATCTTTAACACTCATCATAGGGATCATTCAACAAGCTAAAATAAATTAAATCCATATGGATAAAAAGGGATAAAATAATAAATTACAGAGGACTTTCAGCAGTCGAACGCTTAGCTGGTGTTTTTCGTTCATAAAAATAAAATGTAGGAATGTCGTTAGAGCATAGCTGCTCTAAAGGTTAGATGGGGCATGCAAAGGGGTTGCCATGTTTTGTTAACATTTCTTGGGATTCCTAGTTAACGCTTTTGGATGGAAGTCTTTAAGACTTTTTGAGGTTATGCTTGTTTACAATAGCCTGCAGTTTGTGCAATTGATTAAGAAGGCCGGCATTCGAATCTTCCAGGGATTTGACACGCCTTTTGTAGTCGGAGTTTTCGTTTACTAAAATCTCTACTTTACGTTCTAACTGGTCCATATATTCCTTCTTTTTGCGCCTGCTCTCCTGAGCGGAGATCTGTAAGCATACAAGAATAGAATTTAGTTTAACAATTATCCTTGAAAGGAGACGATTGTGAGTGAACCCACCTTATTTTTTATTTTACGTCGAATTTTCTTCAGAGACTTTTCTTCGGCTTTGGTTAGTGGTAGCTTCTGTGGTATTGGATAGCCTTCCGCCAACAAGGTACGCTTTTCCTCTTCGGTTAACAAGAGAGTTCCTGTAGAACCCTTCTGCAAAATATGAAGAGGTGAATGTAAGAATAGCTGAAGCTGACAATTGAGTCGGGGCAATCTTACCGGTTGCGAGCTTATCAGTGGTGTGTGTATTGGTTGGCGGGTAGTACCTCCACTTGTGTGTCGACCCATGCTTACATTGGAACTGGAATTGGAGGTAGTGGACGAGGCAGAGCTATTGGTATTTCGTCGTATAGACGTAACAGTTAAAATGCCACTTGTCGGTTGACTAACCGAAGCCGCTATCTTCGCTGTAGCTGATGAGGTGGGTGACTGAGGTGAAAGCATGTGTTCAGGTGTGAGATTACCCTCCGAACCATCACTGGAGAGGGACGACGGTGGGGTCAAGGGCAGACCATATGACTTGGCAATCGAGGGAGACGTAATGAAAGTACCGCTGCTGGATGCTGTCCCCTCAGATTTTATGGTAAATTTAGGTATTATAACATTTTGTGAGGGACTGATGACAATTTGCTGTGTCTTGAGCAAGTTTTGGGAAGACGGCGTAAGTTGCAAACAACCATCCTGAAAATAGAATAAAAATGACATTATCATTTACTGTTCGTATGGTCATTGTGATGCCAACAAACCCACCTTGTGCTCAAAAACGAGATCTGAATTTGTGAAGGCAGCCATATTGGCCATGGTTAGACTTAAGGTGCCGCCATTCGTATTGCTACAGTTGGCTATGTCACTCGCCTCCGGACTACCAGGACAACTGGAGTCGGGAGACATGGGCTCGTTTTTAATGCAGGATTCATCGATCTCAATGTCGGAGCATATATCTGGTGACTGACTTCCATCCCGCGATGATGTACTGGATACACAATCATTATCCATGACTGCATTTAGCTCATCTTGAGGTAGATATTGTTGTTGTTGTTTTGTCTGTAAAGGTGTGGCGGGTTGTTTGACCATTAATTTGTGATTATCCGAGGAGATGGCGGCATTCATTGAATTGTTCAGATTCTGGGCGCTTTCAAGGTTTCGCAGGCTGAGTGTAATGGGTGTGCTAGCAGAAATCTTACATATATTACTGTACATGCTCGATATATGGCTTGTGTTGCAGCTGCTGGTGGTCAGTATGGGATTTGACTGACTGCATATGTTTGCGCTAGATGTTGAACCTGCAGAAACCACGGCATTTAAGGTTAATGAACCAGTTTCCATATTATTACCAGTGATCATTGAGGAGCTGGATGAAATGTTTAAGCATTTTGGATCAATAGTTGCCGTGCTGCTTACACCCCTGACGTTCGATGTGGCTGTTTTCAATGAAATGGCCGGGTAGCATTCATCTTCCATATCTGCGATGAAAAATACAATATGTAGGGGTCAGTTATGAAACATGGATGAAAAGGGTCAGCTTAGGGCTAGATAAAATGCTGCTTATGACGAACGATTAAATTAAAAAGGCATCAAATGGAATACTAATCAAGGTCTCAGCGACAAAACATAACAAATCAATTACTTTGTTTAATTTGGGCCAGGCATCTATGTATACCTAGAATGCGATAAATTCATTGTTTGGGTTCCCACATTGAGATTGTGATACACTGTTGTCGTTTCTCAATATATTTTGTGTTTTTGTTGTTTTGTTTTTGAATTCAAACACGCGTCATTCTATTTTGGCCGCACTTGTGTTAATATTGAATTCATGCCGTATTTACCTAGCTGTTAACAACTTCTGTTTCCAGCATTGTTCCAAACAATCGCAACTGAGTATTTTGAATAAAAACAAATTTTAATAAATGAACCACAAAACAATTAAACGGTGGAAGAAGAGTCAGCAACAATGCGAAAGCCGTTGTGCTAGCCTCAGGTGGAATGGAAGGGGTACAAATATTATATGTTTCATGTACCAGCTACTGTTCGCTTTATCCATTATTTGGAGTGTGAATGGGGAACAATCTGTCTATCTCTATTCAATGTTAAGTGTGTAGGAGTTTTTTTAGCCGCAATGCCTGGTGTTTAGAAACATACACATAGACTGACTACACAGTAATAGGTATGTCGGTTTCTTCATATCTTATCTTCATAATTGGCCGGGGTTTCATTCAATGCAGTAAGTACCACCATCATTTTACACCTTCCGATGGAAATGCTGAGTTAATGTGTCGGTGTCGTCAACATAGTCACAATATTAACAACGAAGATATTCTTATACAACTCTACTTCGCCTTCAAGATTTCAACTAGAACCTTGCGGAGTCCTCTACATCGGCCGTGGTGGCTTTTGATCGCAAATATTCATAGATGATGTGATCTGACCATTGTGAAGATCTTAATGGGCAATGAGTTGCAGTGAAAGTTCAAGTATATCAAATTTTTTTTTAACAATATTTGGTGCTAACGAATTGAATACAATTACTATATTTATAATTTATAGTCGAATTTGCTGTTGATATTTTTTTCACGTACATACATACATAAATGCAATGCCACAGATATCGTTTTGTATGTACGTATTGATTTACTGATTATTATTATTATTATTAAATATTCTTTTTGTTCCGGCGACTTTTCTATTCTTTAGTTTGATACGATAACACTTGAAGTGGTTCTTGATTCTCATTTTCTGTGCGATTGAATTATCTTTGTAAATTTTGAAACTTTTGATTTGCAAGTAAATTGAATATATTCGGGTGTATGGTGTTCACTCGCCAAATTGTCTTAAAAATAAATCACGGTCACATTAAATGTAAACAAAATTGGATTTGTAGAAAGAAATGAATATTTTTGATATTTTGTAACACGTTTATAACACACCCACCCTAATGTTTAACCAAAGATAGAGAAGGCACACGACACGGCCGCAAAAATCGGTTGTCCTAAAAAAGTATATGTCCTATTATATAGTGAGTGTTGGTCGTTTTCGTCTATGATAAGAATGTAGTAAATTGGGGTTGCATAAG